CCTTGGGCCGCCCTTGGCGGGGCTGCGGCCGTGGGGCGGCGGGAGAGGGGAGCGGGGCCGTGCGGGCAGGGAGGGAAGGACGGACGGACGGGCAGCCGCCCCCCGCTCAGGGGGACGGGAGCGCGCTGGAGGAGGCGCCGCTGCCCCCGGGCCGCCCTGACGGAGCCCGTGGCCGCAGGAGCCCCGGCCCGTGATGCAGCAGTCGCCGTACGGACCCTGCCACTATGAGATGAAGCAGTTCCTGGAATGCGCTACCAACCAGAGAGACCTGACCTTGTGCGAGGGCTTCAACGAGGCTCTGAAGCAGTGCAAGTACAGCAATGGTGAGTGTGCCCTGTCCCTGCAGCAGGGAACTGCTGCTGGCAGAGCACCTCAGCGGGTTTGAAGGTTGCAGGAGCGATCTTTTGGGGATATATCGTCCTTTAGGGCTTTAGGTAGGAAGCAGTTGTGTCTTTTCTGTGTCCTGAAGCAGAAAGGAGTAGCTGGAAAGGGGAGGAGAAATGATTTTGACCATGTCTCTGTGAAGGTTGGGAGGCTGTAGGTACCTTTTAGAGGGCCCACTCTTGCTGCCACTGGAAGCCTGCTGCTCCTCCTGGCTGATTCTCTAATTCCTGCTGCATTTGGTACAAGCTGTTGTCAGTAGTTAGGTCATGGTCTGGTTACATTGGGCGAGAGAGCTTTTAACTCCAGCTGCTGGAACAGGTACCTAATGCTGAATTTCTGTTTCTTCCCTGTAGGTGTTTCTTCTCTCCTGTGAAGAATTCAGCCCCTCGTAGGGAAGAGGATCATGGTGTAGAGCCCTGCTATCCACAGGGGTGGAAGAACAGACAGGGAATGAGCTGGAGGAAGCAGACTGACCAGACAGGAGTATTCTAGTGGTAATTCACTTCTGAGCTAGTAGGGAAGGAAAGGAATGATTGGACCGAAGGGTCTTTAGTATTCAGATAGTGCTGTATTTATTACAGAGAAATAAAAAAATTTATTTGGACCTATCACTTGTGCATGTTCTTTATTTAATTCTCAAGCTCAAATTAAGCTACCAAAACATTAACATCAGCCAAAGGACAAGGCAAGCATGTATTTCCTGTGAGCAGGGGTTGCAGCCTAGCAAGGACTGTGCCTGCATGACTTGGCAGAAGGAGATGCAGACATTGGCTGCCCTCCAGGCACAGGAGAGGCTGCAGAGAGGTAAGCCAACAAGTGTCCCACAGTATTTTCAGTGACGAGCTACTTTTCTATAGATATCCTCTTCCCTGAATACCTGTCCTGACCTCAGAGCTAAGAGAGTGTCACCTGTCTGGCTGTGGGACTTGGATACAGTTGGCTGATCTGACTTTAAAGCTTTAGTAGGTTATGCAATGCTCTCAAGGTCACTGGCATCAGGTGGAGTTGAGAGCTGCTTTCCTCTTACACAGCCTCGTGATTGCTGCCCGTGGACTGCCCTCCATCAGGACACCCTGTTCCTCATGTTGGCATAAGAGGGAACTCTGAGGTTTCAGCTGGAGTTTAGTGGCACAGCAGTGAAACCAGGACACTTTCAGATGCTTAACTGATGCATTTTTCATGGCAGAATGAGTCTTGACCTTTTGATCTGGGACTGTTGAATAAAGGACAAATTCTCAGCCCCTTGCTGGGATCTCTGAGGAAATCCAGGTCTAGATGGTAAATGCTGGTGGCAGATACTGGAGGCTGATCTCCTTCTGAATGTCACAGATTTAAGTTCTTGGTAGAGATGTCCTGAGCTGTGCCTGGCCTTATTAGGGGTGTTTTGTGTTCTTAGTGACAGCCAAGAGGAAAAGTAAATGCCAGAGATTAAAAGCTCAAGTGTTCCATGTGCTGAGCTGTCCTGTGTGAGCAGGGAGGAACCACTCCAAAGTTGTTTAACTCCCTTTAAGAAATAAGTCTTTTAGACTGGTGGTGTGTTGCTCTGGGTGGAGAAGCAGCAGGTGTGCTCTGCCTTTTACCCAGCTTGGCAAAGTGCTGCTTCTGCACCTGAGGGGCCTGGCTGTCTCTGGAGCAGCTTTTCCTGGTGATGGCTGTGGACAGTCCCTGCAGGGCCACTCTGGAGTGCTGCAGTGGGAAGCAGACCCATCCAGTGATACAAAGCAGGTGGGTGGAAAGGAGGTGCAGGTTCTTGTCCCTGGGGAGTGCCATGGGAACATGGCCCCCTTGAAGCAGGAGGATGGTACCTGTGCCTGGTTTGTCAGGGTGCAGCTTGGGATGTGATAGTGTGAAGCTCTGGGAGGGGCAGGAGATCCCAGGAAGAGGGGCTCAGCAGGGGACTCCTGCTGTGCTAGGAATAAATACCTGGGCAGGTGTTTGGGCCCTGGTGAAGGCTGTGCTGCCTGTGTGACCAGTTCATTTAGGGGTGTTCTTGAGTTCCGAGTTCCTCTTGCTCTGTAAGGTGGTCCTGTTCCTGGCTCGGGTGCTGGTGTGGGGCTGAGCCCTCTGCAAGGAGCCCTTCTTCCTCTGATCTGTCCTCTGGGTCTTTCCTGAGAGCTGCTGCAGCCGATCTGTGGGGTGACCAAGCCCTTCCAGAGTTGTGTTTGTCAGCTGCCCATCACATGCTGAGCAAGGCGCTACCAAGCTGTGAGACTACAGCCTGGGACAGATACGTGAGGGTTTCACAATTTCTCCTGATGTCCTTCCCTCCCTGTTTGTTCCAAGGAGATGTCCCCCTTTGCCGGGGGGACAAGCTGGGTAGGCCTGTGCCTGGTGTGGGGTGTCACTCTTAACTAGGAGGGGATCCTGCACACCAGCCTGGCTTGTCCCCTCCCTTGGTGCCATGAGAGCCCTGAAGGAGCACAGGGGCATCAGAGGAGAGTCCCACTGTGCTGTATGAGGACTGAGGTGGGAACAGGAGTCATGCCTGCACCCCTGACTCCTCTGTGGAGGTGAGGTGGGTGCCTGGCTCTTACCTGGTAGGTCAGGGTAGTGTTTACCCAGGTCCTCTAGCAAGGATTCATAGCAGGTGGCTTCAGAGTTTTCTTCTCCTGCCAGCAGAATGGGAGAAATGGATTAGTCTCTCTCTTGGCTGTGAACTGAAGGCTTGTAACTGGGCATGTGGTTCTGCCCAGGAAAAATGTTCTGCCTTCTCCCCTGGAGCAGCTCTTGGGCAAACAAAGGCTCAGCTCTAGATCTTCATCCAAGCTGGCTTCTGCCTCCTTGGAGCTTCTGTGCTGTGTCCAAGTGATTGCTGAACAGAGCCCTCCCAAACCTCCCCCCAGAGCAGACCCTTCCTGAGGCTGAGCTGTGCTGTCTGGACAAGGAACTTACGGACAACTCTGATGAGGATGTAGCGCTGCCTTCCCTGCAGGTATTTACTGGCATATTCAGATGCAGGATCTCCCACTTTGCTCAGGTTCATCAGGATGCCCTTTTCGTCCACAAGATCGATGCAGTCTGGAGGGAGAAACGTGGTGAAGGAAGCTCAGGGTGCCCCTGTGTGGTCAACATGAGCCTGTTGTGTTTAGAGGTGTTTTCCTTGGCAAGTTACATTTGAACAGAATGTTGAGGTGTGGGGGGTGTGGGAGGTTTGCTGTCCCTTTCCCTGTGTTTTGGGATGTCCTGTGACTCCCACGTGACCCATTTGTTACCCTCTGCTGTTCCTCTATGGGTGAGTGGCAGTCCCTTTGTGACCACAGCCCAGAGCACTCGTACCTTCAGGCCTGCACTGACACTTCCACTTGAGGTGGCCTGTGAGGGTCTGGACACAGCAGAGCAGGTTCACCATCTCTTGGCAGTTGGCTGCAATGAATGAGACCTGAGATAGCAGTGTGGTCACCCCAAACCCAGGGACCACATGGGCATGGCAGAAGGCACAGCAGGTGGCTGAGAGGTGCCCACTGTGGCTGGGCCAGCAAAGACAGGATCCCTGTGTGGCATCAGCAGGGCTTTGAGCAGCTGCATTACAGCTACAGGTGCTGAGAGTGCCCCAGGTCAAGGGGAGAAGATGAGTGCTTTGATTTGGGGAAAAATGGTTTTGACTGATGAAGTGTCTCTGTCCTTCAACTTTGCCTCATCAAGCATGAGTAGGAAAAAGCAGTGAGCCCTGGTCCTTGCCAGTCCCCTTCTACAAGCTGGTCCCAGTCACAAGGTGAAAGAGCTGGAGATAGTGGCTGAGTCACCTGAGGATATTTTGGCCGTGAACTCTGACCGAGTTTGTCATAATTGAGAAATCCCCCAGGGCTGACACACGTCAGTAGTCAGAGCTGGGGATCCAATTCAAATAGCAGAGGGAGCAAAGGCTTAGAACCCTGTGCATCTGATGGCTTCAGCCACGAGTGTCTGGGGACAGGCCAAGGCTTTCAGCCAGCTGGGTGAGGTCAGGATAGGGGCTGCTCATTTCTTCCCACAAATACCTGCTCTCTGAAACTGAGAGCCGGGATTTGAGTCAGGGAACCCTTCCCACACAGCCCAGGACAGAGGAGCTCTGCTGGCAGCTGGCACTTGTGCCCCATGGCTCTTCTGGTTGTGTCTAGATAAGCAGGGCTCCCTCCAGTGATTTCCCAGGGCTGCCAGGCTGGGAGCTCATCCTCACCTCCTGCGATTAACTCAGCTCTGCTGGAGTGGTTTTCCTCCATGATTTGGAGTGCAGGGGTAATAGATCTCCCTTTCTTAAAAGCAGGTGAGGTGCAGGATGCTGCTGCACCCTGGCAGAGCTCTCCTGTCCTGCCTGTCCCTAAGCCCTGGGCATTGCTGTGCACCAGGTGCTGTGTCCCTCCCTGCCCCTGGGGGTGACGAGGGTGGCCGCAGGGCTGGGGCAGGGCCGGGCCTTTCCCCACCTACCTCCGAATCTCACTGTGGCGAACATGGTGCTGCTGTGCCCCTGCAGGGCTGTGGGGCCGGGTCCCGTCCTGCAGGCAGCACTGGGAGCTGCTGGAGAGCCCGGGACACACAGGGCTCATTTCCCTCTGACGCTGTTGTGGTTGCAGTAGCCAGATCGCCCAGCAACAGTGAATGGCCTCTGCAGGTTCTCCAGCCTCCTGCGGGGGGAGAGGGGAGATGTAGAGCAAGGGCTGAGCCAAACAACAGCCTGTTGGGAAGCCTGCTCCGTGTGCTCCCAGATGCTCTGAATTTCGGACTTTTTGTAGTCTCTGGTGTTTCCTGCCCCCACCTCCATTTGTCCTGCAGCTGATCTGGGCTGTGGTGGTGCCACATCTGCTCACCCTGCTCCTGAGCCCAGCATTGCTGCAAGGGCAGCCTGGCCTCCTGTGACATGACTGGATGCCACTGGAAAAACCTCCCTGAAGACCCTGCCTGTGCTGGTCCTACTCTGGAGCAGGGGGGCTTTGCAGCCCCATGGTGTGCACGGTCATGTGCCAGCTGCATCTTCCATTTGGTGCCCAAATGTTTCTGTGCAAGTGCTCCTGCAGGCAGGGCCCTGGAGCATCGTCCCCTTTTCCTGTGGGAAACATGGATAAAATCATGTCCCTGTGCTGCTCAGCAGATGGGGAGGGCTGGAATGGTGGGAACCAGTAACAACACTGATGTGCTGCATTATCCAGTGCTCACTGCTCTGAGGACAAATTCCCTTTCTCTGGAATGCCTCTCTTTGCATGAGGAAGTGATTTCCCTCCATCTTGCCAGGTTTCATTTCACAGTCTAATCCATGGGCTTGACCTGCTCAGAGCCTGGGACAAGGTGTGTGTGTGACACTCCTCCCCCAGGACACGTGCAGGGAGACTCGTGTTCATCTTGCCACCACTCTGCAGAATTTGGGGAGTGCTGGTGGGCAACAGCTGCAGCTGTACCTGCAGTGTGCTACCTGCCAGAGCTCAGGGGCCTGGCTGCAGGAAACACAAACTGCTGATACCTGCAGGGGCAAACGGCTTTGGCTTGGGGCCTCTGTGGCTGCTGCAGAGGGGAGGGAGTGGCTGTCCCCGCATGGTGACGAGGTGGCACTGATGGGCTGGGCCTACCTGTGGAGGGCAGGAGGCGGCCAGCAGCCCTGGCACATGAGATGTGCCTGCTGCCCTCAGTGCTGAGGACACCCTGGGCTGGTGGCCGTGTGACACAGTGTCCCTGGGCCCCGTGACAGGTGTCACAGACAGGAGGGGCTTCACGCCCGCTGAGCTGGTGGCTGTTGGCTGTAACGGTCTGCTGTCCTTCCGCACCAGGCACCAGCTGTGCTGCAGCCACCTCTGCCCCGGCCCCCTGGGGACACACCTCCTGCCCGATGGCCTCAGCAGCCACCCACCATGGCTGCTGCTCCTGAGGTGGCCCTGGTGGAGAGGCAGCTGAGACCCTGACCTGAGACCCAAGTCATTCCTGCCACAGTGATGGAGCTGCATGAAGGGAGCAGCAACTTTCTGAATGTTGTTTCTGTGATGGGGCAGCTGCTTCCCATCTCCCGTTCTCCCTGGTGGCCCCCAGCCCGCTGCCTCTCCCGGGGGGACAGCACACACTTGGTGTGGTGTGGCTCGGGCTCCCGACTTCCTGCATGCCTGGCAGCAGAGGGCCTGAGTGTGAGCCCCCCAGGGAAACCTCTCTGCTCCTCCTACCAGTGAAGAGAGATGGTCAGCGATGCTGCCCCGGTGCCCAGGGCATGGGGTGTTGGGGTGGGCTGTGGATGTGTTGGTGCAGCTGAAGGAAATGGGCTGCGGTGAAGGTGGGTGGCTCTCCCCGCCCTCCCTGAAGCCCAGTTGCAGCAGAGCGAGCAGCCCCGGGGAGCTGAGTCCCTGAGCCCCCTGTGTCATTTACATAGGTCCCGCCGGTGCCGTGGCACAGCAGCCTGCCTTGTGCAGCACCCCAGACCCTCTCTGAAACAGCCTCCCTTCCTCCTGCCATGGCCCTGGGCTTCACCGTCCTGCTCCTGCTGGGGATGCTGGGCACGGGTAAGGCTGCTGTGGCCGAGCCAGCGCTGCCTGGGGGCACTGCAGGGTGGTGGGCAGGCCTGGGCTGGCCAAGGGGAGGCTGGTGTGAGCAGGGCGTTTTGCTCCGGGGATGTGTGATGTGATGTGACGAGATGAGCAGGCTGGCGCTTGGATAATGGCGTTGCCTCGAAGGAGCTGAGGGACACTTTGGGGTGAGGGTGATGGGGGACACGGCTCAGCCCATCACTGACTGCAGCCTTGGTGCGTGCAGCTTCCAGGGCTCAGCCCGTGCTGACACAGCCGCACTCCGTGTTCGTGCTGCCCGGGCAGACAGCTCGGCTCTCCTGCACCCTGAGCCCCCAGTACAACATCAGCCAGTTCGGCATCTCCTGGTACCAGCAGCGCCCGGGCCACTCCCTCAGGTATCTGCTCTATTACAACTCCGAGCGAGACAAGCACAAGCCTGCCAAGACTCCCGACCGCTTCTCAGCCACCAAAGACCTCGCCAGCAACGCCTGCATCCTCTCCATCGCCTCCGCCTGCCAGGATGACAATGGCACCTACTACTGCTCCCTGTCCCCTGCCTTCCAATGGCTCTAGAGACGGGAACTAAAGCTTTCCGCGCTTTCCTCGGCGACCCTGACGTGCTCTCAGCAGGGAGAGCAGCAGCCCTGGCAGGGGTGGGAAAAATCCATCTTTGCACGCTTGAGCAGGCCCGGCAGCGCTGCCTCGTGCTGGAAGTGCAGGAACCTCCTCTTTGTCCCCAATGTCCCCAATGTCCATGGGCCATTAGACAGCCCGACACGGGAAGATGGAGGGCTCGGCTGTGGCCTGGCTTCCCTGGGCTCTTCCAGCACGAGGCTCGACCTTGCTGGGGCTTCCGCAGAGTTTGGCTCACCTGGTAATAAAGATAATAAAGGTCAATCCTCATCCCCGGGCTCGTGTCGTGTGTCTCTGGCCAGGAGGGGTCTCTGGGCCGGGCCGAGCCCTCAGCCATCCCTGGAGCAGCCCCTGCGCCCCTGCCCGCTCCGCCCGCACATCTCCTG